ACTCTATATCTTATACTTTTACATATACATACTTATTTTATATACATTGAAAATTTTGTCTTTATTATATAGAATTCTTCTTTTAATATTTTCTTACTAGTAAAATCAGTTTTTGGTGGTAGATCGTATTTTTTGGTCGACGACCTTGGTCGAAGTTGGCACTATTCGATAGAGAATTTAATTCTGCATCCAGCACAATCGAGTAGGAAAACAGCACAGACGTAGGGGCGAATATGGACAGGAAATACGCGAATCTGGTGCTAACATTACTTACGTCATCTATCAAGGTAACCAGACGTTACGTATCAAAGTTTAAAAAAGAATGGTTATCGAATCCAAAATATTCGTCGTTTTTTAAAGAATGCAAAAATGATCGAACAAAAGCATTATGTTGCATTTGTAATGTACAATTCTCGATCCAAAATAGTGGTATAACTGATATTAGCACTCATATGAAAACAAAAAAGCACCAAGATTGTGTAAAATCAACTGAAGCTAATAAATGTAATGTTTTTTTTCTATTATTTTTGATAATATGATTATTCTTATTGTTATTTTTTCTCCTTATAGCAAAAACAATAGATGCACCATTTAGTACAACTACAAATGAACTTAATCGCTTGTCTGCTGCCGAAGGAGCATTAGTATTCCACGGCGTGAAGCATTCACATAGTTATTTATCTCAATCGTGCAGCATCGATATGATGAAAAAGTGTTTTCCAGATTCTTCTATAGCAAAAAATATAACATGTGATAAAACCAAAGTAAAGAATAATAATCATGTTAAATTTTTTAATTTGTGTGATTTACTTCACATTTAGACACGTGAAATAGCTTGTAATGTATTAGCGCCACTATTTACAAATACAATTATTCGAGATCTTAAAAATGTTTCGTATTTTTCCATTTCTTATGACGCATCAACTAAAGGAAATGCAAAAATGTTACCTATTGTTGCACAATATTTTTCTACATTTGGAATAAATCATGGAATTATTGAGTTTATCCAACAACAACATGAAACAGCTGATAAATTATTTTTTAATATTAAATATGTGTTAGAATCCAATGAACTTAAATTAGAACAACTTAGTTCAATTGGATCAGATAATACGAACGTGAGCATTGGACAACATCATAGTGTATTTGTCTTATTTAATCAGTTAGTACCTGGTTTAATACAAGGTAAAGAATATGATAATACTAAAATTTATTAAATGACTCGTCTATTGTTTCGCATTTAGGTAATTGTTATTGCCACATTTGTCACAATTCAGTTAAACATGGAAATGATCATATTTTATTTGATATTGAAAGTGCTGTGTTGAAAATTTATGCTCATTTCTCCAGGTCATCAGTTCGTTTAGAAGAATTATCAAATTATTTTGATTTTATTGAACAAGAACAGGAGGTAATTAATTATATTTCAAATGTTTTGAATCAGCTATTTATCTCGAGATGTTAAACAAGTTCATTTCACATTGGATCATACACTTAGGTTATTCTTCAACATATTCGTTTACGTTGGCTTAGTCTTTTACAATCAATTGAACGTTTAATTGTTGTTTATCCAGTGATTAAAAGTTATTTTTTGAATATTGCACATCGTCAATGTCCAAAACTGTTACTAGAATTTTTTACTTCAAATAAAGGTAAGAACTTAACTTTTTTAAATATGTGTTTGAATGTTTGTGTTCGACTTTTCCAATAGGTGAATGTTCATTATACTTTTTGAAGAATGTATTAATAGAAGTACAAGAAGCTAATTTACAATCACAAAGATATTATACAACCGGTGTTAATTTATACTCCATAATAACAGATTTATTACGTGGATTAAATAATCGTTTACGGGATGATTATTTTGGTTCTAAAGTGATGGACTTATTAGAAAAAATTCAACATACAACTGAAGTTGATGATTTAAAAAAATCATTTCGATCATTCATTCAAACAGTTATCCAATATATTGAAAGTTATTGCCAAGATCGTTCTTTATTTTACAAATCAATATCAATTTTTAGTGAAACAGATATTGAAACAATTGAATGGAAAAGTATTGAATATTGTACTACATATATTAATACCACAAATATTGATAAAGATTGTTTATACAACGAATTCAATCATATTCGATCAAAATATGTCGGAATCAAGGACACATTTGGTGGGATTTATAAACAAGTGCAGAATTTTAATTCATCAAATTTGGTCTCAACAAAACAAATTGATACAACATTAGATAATGTATGCGACATCAACGTTCAAAACAACTGTGATACAGATAATGAAGAACAAGATGTTAAATTTCATAAAGAACACAAAAATCATTTTATAAGATGTGATCAATTATGGGCTTATCTTCTTTATGATGAAAATGTACCTAATTTACGAAAATTAATTGAATTTGCTTTTTCAATACCAGCGTCAAATGCTTTTTGTGAACCAATCTTCAGTCATATGAAATTTTATGGAACAATCATCGAAACAACATGAAGAATGAACTTATAGGTGCAGAACTAAAAATTAAAATGAATAGCCATTATGGCTGTACACAATTTTATAATTATCTTTATAATAATCCAGATCTACTGAAACAAATTCGCTCATCAGAAAAATACAATCATATTGCAAAAGTGCCACGTAAGGCTTAGGTGATACTTTATTTTACATGTATGTTTATTTATTTTGGTGTACATTAGTTTAGTTTTTAAGTAAACTTTATCTTCTACGTATATTTGTATTTGTATATGTATGAATTGTGAAATGATTAGTAATAAAAATATATATGATTATGACTAATGATAATAATTATTTTTGTTTTTCATTTCACTTACGAGGGAAGGTCCCCAAGTGTGAGTCTCCGTTTCGAATCGGGTATTTGTTATTTTGTAGAGCTCAATGAGTACAGTACCCGCGTATAAAGGATTTCTGCCCATGGTGAACTTTTCAGGAACAACGAGGTTCCATACCTTCNCGTTGAAAGAAAAACATTGAAAAGGAAAAATATTCATTTTCATTATAACAATTTATAGTATCGATAAAACATTTATTGAATAAAGAAAAGCAATAGAAAAATCCATAAGGGTGTTGATGTGGGTGTGGGTATTACAAGAACATGAATAAAAGCACATCTACACCCATCCACACCCAGGGATGTGGCGTTCACGGGGTGCGGGGGGGTGCGCACCCCTCCACTTTTTAAAAATAGACTTGTATTAGAAGTTTTGTTTATAAGATTTCAATATTACAATGTATTATCAAATAATTATTTGAAATCTAAAGACAAATGACGTAACTCGACTAATCGTGAATCTTAATCAGGTTATAGAGGTCACAAATGACCGAATAATAAATTTTCTCTTATATACGTACATAAAAAGATTATGATTTGTTCATTTTTGACCGATGTAACACAGCTGTAGTTCATTGTGTTTACAAGCAACTACACTATTTTACACATTGTTTTTCAGGCTAAGGTCAAACTACTCTTGATGAATTGAAACGCTCACTTTTCATTTTCAAATACAGGATATATATAATTGTGTACCAGTTTTAGATGATCAAATTTATATATATAGGAATACAATATGAATAAACCTAAACGAACACCAACATTAGATTCATTTGTTATTAAAAAACCTAAAAATACATCAATAATATCATCAGATCCAAATTTAAATCAAGATGAACAAGCAACAAAAAATGTTACATCATATGGTAATATCGTCAATGTCAATCAACATATTAATATTGATAATGTAAATGAAACAACAACACCACTTGTTAGTCTTGAAAATAATCTGTTATCTATTCAAGACAATCATCGTAGTTTAACAAATTCAACAGTTTTGGAAGAACGTTGTCTTTTAGTGTCTTCTATTTGTTCTAGTGGAGGTGATGATGAACGTATTGATATTAGGGTTCAAACATCAAATTATGATTATGGTATTTGTGAAAAAGAAAATGCAGGTGGTCGTTCCGCAGTTGCATCAACAGGTATTATTGGTTGTGAAAAATTAATTAGTAATCTTTTATCTTTGAAAAAAGCTAATGAAAATATTGATATTCTTTTAACAATGTTTAAATCCACAAATAATTCAAAAGAATTATGTGCACACGAAACATATTCATTTTCTGATGATGTATTAAAAATTGTTAGTGATCTGAGAGTATATTGTGAAACATATCTGCTTGAATGTGTTAATAATCGTCCTCTTGTTTCCAATTCATTACCAACATATTTACAAAGAGATCCTGGTGCTTATCCAAATTTACCACGATTTAGTAGTGATGAATTGAAGCATCTCATTGCACTTGGACCTTATCAACCACGTCTCTCAACATATCCTAAATTAAAAAGAACGAAAAAAGATGACAATGGTGAGATAAGTGTAGAGGTAGATTTGAGAAAAACAACAAGTTTTCAAGCTAGATGGTATGTTGATTATCCATTGATTGAATATAGTATTTTAAAAGATCGAGTCTATTGTTTCGTCTGTCGTTTATTTGGGCATGGCCCAGGAGCACTTTGTGGTGATCCTGCTTGGACAACTAATGGATTGCAACAATGGACTAAGATGACAGGGAAAGATGGTAAATTGATTAAACATTTTCAATCGAATGTACATATTTCTGCTCATCAACGTTTACAAATGTTTAAAAAAGAAGATTCACATGTTGATATTCAACTTGATAAAGGTATGTTCACATCACACTTTTTAATCTTTTTTACTTCCAAAATCAGAATGAAAGTTACATTTTTTTATTAAATTTCTCTAGAACGTATTTTTGTTAATCATCATCGACAAGAATTATTAAAATTAAATCGTTATATTATTTCAAGTCTTCTTGATGCAACAAAATTCTTAGCACGTCAATCATTAAGTTTTCGCGCTGAAGTTGAATCCGAAGGTATAATATTCATGCATCGAAGACCAATAATCTACGACAAATAATATACTAAATTTTTCTTTTCAGGAAACTTCAATCAAATTGTTTCATTATTACGGCGTTATAATAATACAATTGATCAATGGTATAAAGATAAATCTACAAGAAGCTATCGAGTACGATATCTTAAAATTGATTGATATCATCCAGCTTAGCTTAATGCAACTGCATCTACTTTTTCTTCAGGTTACTTATTTAAGTAATGATGCTCAAAACGATTTTATATCAATTATTGGTAAAGCTGTACATGATTCAATTATCAATCGTTTAAATAAAAGTTTATTTTGGTCTGTAATGGTTGATAGTACACCCGATATTTCTCATAAAGATATGATGTCAATCATCGTTCGATTTGTTAATGAAGATGATCAAGCTGAAGAAAGATTATTAAGTATTCACGAAATAAAAAGTAAAACCGGAAAAAATATAGCTGATAATATGCTACAAGTATTTGCTAAACTTGGTCTTGATATTAATAAGTTAATAGATAAGTTTTGAATGCATTAAATTGAATGTTGAGTTTATTATCTTTATGTAATCATGTGATTTTAGGCCAGTCCTATGACGGGGCGAGCAACATGTCCGGAGAATACAAAGGAGTAAAAACAATAATTAGTAAATTAATAGGTCATGAAGTTATTTTTGTTCCATGTTGTGCACATAGATCAAATAAAATTGTAGAACATTCTACACAAAATAGTTTAGAAGTAAAAAAGTTTTTTGATTTATGTGAAAACATATATGTTTTTATAACTGGAAGTACAAAACGTTATTCAGTTTTACGTGATATCTATTCAACATCAATGAATGAAGATGCTTTATCAGTGAAACAGTCAACAGATACTCGTTGGAGTTCACATTATAACAGCATTATTGCAATTTATGAATCATTTACTGAAATTATTCATGTACTTGATGAATTATGTAATGATAATGATAAAATGACAAAACTTGAAGCACGTGCTATTCGTGAAAAACTTGTTTCATATGAATTTTATTGTATATTGTTATTTATAAAACATTTGATGTCTATAACAAATGCATTAACAACAACATTACAAGATGAAAATTTAGATATATTATTAGCTATAGATACATTAACAAAAACTATTTGTTTATTAAATAAAATAAGAAATGATGAAGATACAATAAATAAACTTTTAGAACTTGCTAAAGAACGTATGCTTACACATTATGATGTGGATGCTGATGAAGAATTTGATAAAAAACATCGACGTCGTTTTAAACCATTGTAAGAAATTTAATATTATATTTTGTTCACACCGTTTCTACTTTGGATAGTTTATGTTGCATAAAATTTAAAAATCTTAAAACGGATAAATAAGATTCATGTATCAATAGCTATTGATTAAGTAGGTTTGCACCTGAAGTTCAAATAACATAAGAATTACATTAACAATCTTTCAGAGTAATCTTTTACATTAAAAATCTAAAATCTTGTTGCAATATAGCTTTCGATTATATTCAGCACCTTTATCTTAGAAAAAATCCAATTTTATATTTAGTTAAAAGTATGAAAAAAATGTTAGATCTGAATCAGACAATTACTTGAGAAATAAAAGAAATATTATGGCAATACATTGAAATGACATTATATATTTAGACGAATTGATTCAAATGCTCATAATGAAGCAATACTGTGCAGGTAAATATAAACTCAATATTGCACATATAAGCGATGAAAAAGAGTGTTTCATTTTTTTTCAGAGAAGCATATTATAGAAAAATATTTTATCAAATCGTTGATCAATTGAATAATGAATATGTTGATTTATTAACAACATTAGAAGAAAAATTAAAATATTTTATTAGTCTATGGCCATCAAAAATAAGTAAGACAGTACTCTATTATCGAACTTATGGTTATTATAAACATTTTTATTAATCTACACTAGATAATTTCCGGACAGAAGATGCTGAACAAATTAAAACTATTGTTCCTGGTATTGATAGTAGTGATTTATTATATTATGATGTTCAATTATTAAAAGAAAACTTACACGAATGTTCATCAATTAAAGATATTATGACTTTGTTTTCGAAAAATAATTACAAATCCTTATATCCACGTTTGTATCGTGTTTATACATTTATATTGTCATTGCCTGTAACTGTTGCATCGAATGAAAGAATGTTTAGTCGTTTAAAATTAATAAAAAATTATTTAAGATCAAAAATGTTTGATGATCGATTAATGAATTTAATATTATGTTCATCAGAAAAAGATATATTAGATTCCTTGAATTTGGATGAATTAGTTACAGTATGGGGAACAAAAACAAGAAGACATCTCCCAACTCAATGAATAATTTACATTTATCTTTTTTATTTTCATATTTTTTGTTAAATCTTTTATTGTATTTATATTCTTGTTCAATTAGCTGAAAATTGATTATATTATTTGTTTATAATCGAAATTTACTGATGTAAATAAATTAAAGGTGATCCTTTGTCTTGAGATGAAATAATAAAGAAACGAAAATTTGGAAAATTAGAAACTACTTGATGATTTATTATCACGTTTTAAACTGCAATCCGAATAAATGATCTTTTTGTAGATGATGTATTAGAACATGTCGAAAAAATTATATACATAGATCCACGATAAAAACACTAAAATTTGTCATTTTTTCAGAGAGCTCGTTAGAAAAACTAGCTTCCAGAAAAAAAATCATATGATCTTAATTTTTACCTATTGCACCCCCCCACTTTTTTTCTTTCGCCACATCCCTGTCCACACCGACATCCACATCCATACCCTTGCTACTTGCGCCTTCACTGAAATATCTTTTACTGGTTAGTAGTTTCGCGAATTGTTTTTTTTTGCGATATACACACGATATCATAGTCTTTGAAGGTGAATACCTATCTCCAAACCCACAAGAGATCTTAAGATATTCCTAACAAATTTCAATAAAATATTGATCAGTGCATTGTA